GTGTCACTGCATCTAATAGTGTGCCGCAGCTGGAAGTTTTTTTAGATCCAGATTGTAAATATACATCAAAGGATATCTTAATTTAGACAAGAATTTGTGTCTCTTATTACATGTATCTACTTTGGACATTTTAGACAAAATTTAACAACTTGTTATTGACGAATAATTTGATTTGAACATATCATAATAGATAAAATAAAAGTTCATTGAACCACTTTTTTTATCGTCTTATTTGTTATTTTAAATCAGTGTTGGAATATATTAAAACTCATTTTTACGTGTACACTCTTTACACAGAATTTATAAATTGGCAATGATTTATAAATTAAGCTGTATTCAAATATTGTGTTAAACTAATAGAAACTATTGTAAAATAAAAAATTGTAAGTTGCAGTTTAACAGTGCAACTCTTTAGATATAAAGCCTTAAAATCACATTCATTTCAAAACGGGTTCTTTTGATTTGAACCACGTGTTTTTGAGCATAATTGAGCATTTTTAGGGATTTAAACTTTTAGTGTGGGCGTTATGTTTTCCACGGTAGAGTAGATAATCTCGACGACACTTGGAATTTATGGGATATTTAAAGGCTGAGGAGAGGGTCATTGAGAACAAATAATACACTCAAGATTTACTGTCTTTTAATATCTGAACCTTTATCAACGCACAATATATTAAGATAAGCTGAAAATTTTCAAACCCGTAAAACTGAAATGAAATTAAAATTTAAATGTTATGGTTATAGAACTTGCAAATCAGTAAAAATAAACAGGTAAAAGAAGAATCTGCATTGTTTTCCAAGTATGCATGCGAGTTATTTAAAATATTTTGTGACTACATAGAGGTTAGAGTATAATGTATGAAGAGTAACTTTTAAATTCGATCTATGTTAGAAAGATGCACAGAGTTGTCTTTCTTGCACCTCATATAAAAAGAAAACATATGATTAGTTAATATGCTACAGAAAAATAAGCTGACTCTTTAAGCCTTGGCTTTATCTTATTTAGGGTTATTTAACGCCTTATTGGTATAATTATGTTCTCAAAACTTTTAAAAATTATTAATTTACAAATTACAAACACAATATGCAGTTCATCAACAGAAATATAAATTATAAAACAAGTTATTCAATTAAATATTAACCTTACTTTCTAGTCACTGAAAAAGGATACTGTATTGTTTTAAATAAAATGTTTTAAAAAATGTCAGCGAAAGATAGGACCATCTTTAAAAAAATGTTTGGTTGCCATCTCCTGACCGACTGACTAAAAATAGCCCTACTCAAATCATTTATTTTTTAACTGCACATTCATGGAGAAGATTTTTTTCCTATTCTTCTCATTCTGTCAACAAATATGTTGAAATTTTCTGGGGAAAAAAGTTTCCACCTTCCTTCTGACCCAAAAATTTTTTTCCTTAGTTTTAGAAAGGTCAAGCAATCATTCTTTGAAAGATGGCTAGTGTTCAATGCTTCTTTTAATTCGATAAATTTTTTTGAAGATAAGAATGAGCTTTAAAATTGCTTGAATTTAAGGAGAAATATTTTTATTATTATTCATCTCAATCAAAATATCAGGATATCTCTTTTAAAAAAAGAACATATAATTATTATACAAATATGGACTCAATGTAGGTCAATATGCATTTATAATGACCCAGGATGACAGATATTGACCGAAGATACATGGAGTATATCGACCGAGGGCGCTAGCCCGAGGTCGATATACTCCATGTATCTGAGGTCAATATCTGCCATCCTGGGTCATTATAAATGCATATTGACCGTGCATTGAGTCCATATTTATTATATTATATAAATAATAATTTCCCAAATGTATTTGTACTATGTATATCTTCCTAATGTTTACAGAGATGTTGTTTACCATAAATAAGTCGAATATAAACGTTTCAGAATTTTTTGAATGTTACTCACAGGAACTTGTTTCGGTTATAAATTTTAACCTATAACTAAGCATAATAATAACACAAGGTATCTGCTTGTCTTTATTTACTTTAGTCTCCGAGTCCGTAATCGCGTAAACAGCGTCAAAAATCTGCTCGCCGAGTGGAAAAGTCGAATTCAACAATGAAATGGCATATGTAGTAAGTATTCCCGAAAAATGCTAAAAGATATCCTTGATAATTGTTTTGTATTCTCACCTTCAGAGTTCTTCACTATATCTTTTAAATTTTCCTCGCCTACAACTTGCAAACTGCTTGAGTAATTAAAAGCGAAAGTGAAAACGAGGCAGCTCGTGCGAGTCATTATTCGCGTTCAGCGGTCATTATTAAAATATAATTACTTCGTATTGACCAATCAGATTATCGGATTTCACAAAGTTATATAATATACATGAACAATGTACGAAGAATGTTAATTGATATACATGATTTACATAAAATATCAACTATCAAACCAACATTACTACTATAGGTCAATTTTTGAAATGGCATAGACATTCTTAAGCATTTGTACTGCGCATATTTTAAATATTATACAGAAAACAAAGGAAAATAGAACCTTATCAATCACAAAAGTATAAAAATGAAATACAGAACTAATTTATGTAAAGCCATATATGCATTAGAAGGAATTAAAGACGCTAATTTTATTTTGCTTAATGGTTTTAAAAACTACAAACAATCACAAAAAATAACAACTCGATAAATTTCATAAATGTATCATTATTGTACATTGTGATTAAAAATATATGGAGATACAGAACAGTTTCAAGCTTAAACCTGCTTTAAAACAATACAAATCACCTGCAGAGCAAACGTGGTTCCCTAACATACATGTATTAAGGAATGGATCAGGTGCCATGGAGGAGTTAATGTACCCGCAAGCCGGTCACACCCGCCGTATAAATGCATCTTGCAATAATCGGGAAAATTGGTCGTAAATGCAGAGTGTAAATATTGATATAATAATTTATAAGTATGAAAAACGCTAGTAAACATTTGATCTAGTGGTATATTTCAATTAATGATTAAATTATTTAAAAAAAAACTGAAACACTTTATAAAAGAAGCAACATTAATATCTTCCTGAAATGGGATTTCTACGATTTCTTTGACTTAACTTCTATTTCATTCTTTCAGATGTTATTAAATGAAAATGTTCAAATAGATTCCAGTGTGATACATGATGCTTTTCTGAAATATATAGAGGATATTCAATGTGTCTTAGTTAAATATGGAATTTATTTCACGTTTGGGAAAAGATTTTTGATATTTTCACGAAAACATTGAATTTTCTAATAATTACATGAAAAATTAAAAAAAATCCTTTATTCTTTTTCCTTTGCCTCTGTCTTTTTGTAATATAGTCATAGGCTCGTGACGTCATAGTTGAGCAGGTGAGACGTCAGAGCGTTGTGATGTAAAAACACTATAAACATGGATTTAGCAACATACTTTTGGTAATTGTGACAGTTTTATTCACTGTCAGAATGATTTCTTTATTTCCATCTATATTATATCAGGTCAAGGAAGATTTTTTTACAGCAATCTTCGTTATGGGAAGGGAAATCGCGAGTTTTCCCGCACTTCTGATATTCGTCACACTACGATAGGATATCATTTTATTCAATGAATAAATTACAGTATTTCACGAGTAAAAAAGTACTAAACTGCCTCACCTAATGATTTTTATCAACAACTCTATCACTGTTTCTTTTAAACTGGACAAAAATACCGTTAATATAGAAAAAAAACCTTTTTTTTCAAGCTTTCTGCTTCTGTTTTTATATTTTAAAACATACACTAGGAATACAATTTACCATGTGTTTGGCGTAAATACTTATACATGTAGGACAGTAATGACAAAATAGTGATTTGCAAAGATATAAAAAAACGTATAGAAGGGCTCTTCAGTATGAAGGATCTGGAGATAAGGAACATTATCAAAGACCATAAAGCAGTAAAAAATAGGAGCAGAGCAAACATGGACCTCAAAAATATCAAACGTGGGATCAGGTGATATGGAAGAGTGGGCACCCCCTGCCCCCCGGTCACACCCATCGTGAGATTCTTGTTATGATCGGGAAATAACAAAATAATCTGTCGTCAATTCAGTGTCGTCATTCTATAATTAAGGAAAAGGAAAGGCAATGCATATAAACTCAGAGGAGGTCTTTGTTGTCGTTGCTTTTATAAACATAATGGTTGTTGAAGATGCTTCAGGCAGAAGACACAGAAATGTAGGCCTTTATATAATATAGATTTACATAATTTTTGGTAAAGAACAGGATTTTAACTAAACAATAGTAAAGAAACAATGTTGAGTTCCCCCTTCACAATTAGCACTGTGTGCAAAATGATACCTAACAAAAATGTATAAAAATAAAATAGATTTCATTTAAAGTCCATTTTTTTCATTCAAATATTTTTAGTTTATTTTTTTCTTAATTTTTAGAGTATTTATGGAATTTGCCTAAAATCACGAGAAACTGTTTGGGAAGTCTCACATTGTCCATCAACTCCAGAGGAATGGAGAAAGAGGGCAGAGGTCATGAGATGTGGCTTCGTTGTTCAATCGTGTACCCGACTTCATCGTTTTGTATATCACTGCCTGCCAAATTCATTTTGGAACAAGACCATAGAAGTCTGCGCACCTAAACAACAAATTGTTTTTTCGGCGTAAGAATTAAAAAATATAAATTAGAAAAGAATTTTTTATCTATAAAATGATTTTTAATTTTCTCTTTTTAAATCTATCGATTGATTGTTTTATATTTTCGCAAATTCTTCGTCAAAACCTGATACATGTAGAACTTTAAAAGTGCTCCCTACTCTTGCTATTCAATATCCCATCATGACAAAAAGCATTGCTGCAAAATACACCAGTTCATTAAAATCATGTCATTTTTATACTTCATACATTATCCATACTCCTACAGCGTTGTAAATATGTTTTTTTTTTGTACAGACAAATGTGCAGAGTATAACGAAAAAGGCACCAAAGTCCAAACCAACTTTGAGCACTCGTGTTTAGAAGCTGGTATTTCTTGTCCGCTTTATTACTCCTCAGACGAAGCTTACAAATGTACGGGTAGTCTTTTAATTAATATTTTATGAGTAAAATTCTTTTTGATCCTTCGTTTTAAAATTCTTAATTTTATCCATTCTCTGTTGCATCGTTATATATTTAAATTGATGTCTGATGGAAATTTTTAAGATTAATTTTTTTACTACAGATCAATCATGTTACAAACTAGAGAGTAATTACCACACAACAAATGCTCCAACAAATAATAGAGAAACAACACACCCCTGTGGTACAAAGTGAGATTTTTACCTATATTAACATCAATGAAATATAACTTTTAATAGGAATAATAGGTACTGTAATGTCATGATATTTTATTATACCCCGGTATAAAATAATGGTTTTTTTACCTAATATTTTTGTTCATTTTGGCTCTTAACAAATAAAATTTTGTTTCTAAAGCAGGTGTTCTTCCTCAGCAAAGAAATTGAAGTCCCATATTCCAGCAATAGTCTAACTGTTTCTGATTATTAACTTGGTGGATGGACATATCTTCTTCATTTGAGATCATAAATCCAATATCTATTGAAACAATAGAGTGATAGTCTCTTCACATCGAGGCAAAGCTTCCAATCGACCATCTAAACTGTGAAAATTTCCAAGGAATTTCCGCTTAGAAAAGACGTTCCACCGTCAGAAATGCATCTTGTGGAATTTTGAATGAAGTTCTAGTAGCTGGAAAAAAGTATCTTCCTCATCATAAAGGGAAAATATTTGGAATGCCATGTCCCTTCCTTTCTGTCGTTTAGCAGAGAAATAAAAGAAGAAGATTTGGATTGAAAGGACCAATCATGTGCATTTTATCAATGCAATACAAAAAGACTGTAATTAGATTAAGAAATAAAATTTTATCGAATATATTTATCAGTTTATTTGTCGTGTCTGTAATTACTTCTTAAGGGACTCCGACCCTCAGCCAGGAAGGACAACTCTTTAATTTTTAATTTAATTCAAAAAGTCTTTAAATGAAGCTTGACACACACTCTGCTGCACAATCGACCCAGAACTGCTGTACAAAGTGCTGAAATCAGCACAAAATGCACAAGTTGTTCGCAAAAAACTGAGAGGAGCTTATTCCGAAATATGAACTAGGTTTATGTGTTGATGCATGAAAACTAATGACAATGCATAAAAGATTTCTGATACATGAGTATTTTGAACGAAATTTCAATGCTTTACATGTACATAACGTTTAATCTGTTCATGAAAAATACACTTTTGTTTATAGAAATCAAATATAAAAAAGGCAAGGTAATCTTTTGTTGAGACAAGAATTTACTAAAAATATAGAAAACCTTGTTATACAGTGTATTTACAATATTAACCGTACACGATGACTTACTCCTATTTAAAAACTGAAATTTTCTATTCGACAAACATTTAAATACACTAAATGTATGCAAAAAGTGACCCAGATCTTTATGAATGCATGCGTAGAGTGTATTAAATGGCACTGTTAGATAACATGTACTAGCATTTGTGCCTGTATAAGTTACGATAACATTTAAATACACTTTGCACTGACTTTTTGAACTGCC